AGCAGTGGGGCTGGGGATTTAGCTCAGCGGCAAAAGCGCCTGCCTGGCAAGCGCAAGGTCGTGAGTTCGGTTCCTGGTACCGGAGAAAAACCAAAATGCAGCAGTTACAGAAGAGCCTCCAACAACAAAGATGGAACGGATAGCCTGTAAATAGCATAGCGGTCTTTAGAGTACTTCTGTCTGTGTGCCTTACAGATGAGGGGGTGGATGAGCAGCCTATGTGCAGCATCCAGAATGCACCATAGGAAGAAGGTGTGTCTTATTCCATTCCTGAGTTTTAAGATTTAAGTTCACCTTGGTGAACATATTTGTTTTTTTAAATCTAACACAGAATATCAAATTTATTGCATAAATTGTGGTCATGTTTAATCCAGACCAAATAACAAGTAATGTTTCCTACTGGACAAAATAAATGAAGTTTAATAGACAAAATACACCTGTCCTGGACACTGGCATCTCTGTTATATGGCTGTAACAGAAGAATCAGAGAACTGTGAGAACTTTGTTCACTTGTTCGTCACAGGTCCTCAACCTTTTGCGTTCTTCCCCAGGATGAAACTATAAACTGCTTTAAAAGAAATCTGCCTGTTTCGGCTTATCTCCAGAGGCACCTCTAGCACCTCGTGCCATCGCAGGTCAGGCCTTCGGGAAGTGACTGGATCATGTGGGCACTATATTCAAGAGTAACTTAGTCCTTGATGAACTTACAGCTCAGTGCGCTGTTAGCAGGTGGGGTCTGATTGGAAGAGGCGGGTCATGGGGGCCACAACACTGCCCTACTGTTGCCCTGCCCTCGAGGCAGCCAACCATGAACTGAAAGCTCTGCAAACTGTGAGCCAAAAATTAACCTCCCTTCCTTAAATTGTGGGTGCTGGTCTCAGTGATGACAAAAGTAAGACGGAGTTAGGTACCGGAGGAGTGGGGCTGTTGCTATGATACTACCTGACTATGTGGTTCAGAAGCCATTTGAACTGGTCCGTTGGAGGAGTTTTGAAAGGTGTGGAGATGCTGGCTCCAGAGGCCCTAGAATGCTGTAAGCCAAGCTTGATGGGAGATTCGGATCAGAGATCAAAAGGCCAGAATGCTGATAAAATGCAACCAATGTAGCCCAGGCTTACGAGGCTTCACTTGGGAACAAGGACTCTACTGGAGTTCAATTCCAAATCACGTATGGTGTGCATCATACTGGCAGGAAATTTGTTTACATTTTGCTTATGCCCTGAGACTTTGTGGGAGACTAAGATTAAGTGTGGTGGATCAATTAATTTGGTGGAGGAAATTTCAACGAAGCTCAACATTCAGACTGTGGTAATCAGTATTGTTGGTGTCTTTTAGCTAGTTTCAAAAACCAAGGGCAACTGGGAGGGTTCAGTGACTGAAAAGTCTTGAGTTTTGTCAGAAAGGAAGTTCCTGTAAAGCTGATGCTCCCACAGATACAGCAGAGGAGAGCTTGATTGCTGAAAGGATTGATGTTAGAAAGAAGCCAACTACTTTGGATCAGGAGGATAGGAGAGGCAGCTTGAAGGCATTTCAGAAATTTGTACTGAAAAGCTCTTTACAAGTTCAAAGTTGCAAAAGTGAAAGGTTTTCCTTTGAGAAGAAACCTCAAGGGCACCCTCCTGGAGTCAGGATGCTTAAGGAATTGATTCCCTGGGATTTTGTTCAGCATCTTCAGCTGTCCAAGCACTTAGAGGCCTAGCTGCTACTTGAGCTGGTGACAGACCTTGGCCTCATCTTTGTAGTGCTGGCTTTACAGGTATTCAGAATGGAAGAATTGTAGAATCAGGGAGGTTTCTGCACAGATTTCAGAAGAAGACCTGGGACACCAAGCAGTGTAACCTTGACAGAGGATTGCATGATGCTATAAAAGTGAAGCCAAAAGTACAATGGAGACTCCAGGAAGTTGGAGGAGCCAAGAATGTGGAACAGCTGATGAAAGCCACAAGAAGTGAGCAAAATCACCCCCAAGGAGAGTCATGAGGGACACAACCACTGGCCGTGCCTTAGGGGAAGGGCCTCCCAACCAATTTGGAGTTCACATCACACCACAGCTTGCCCAGGCACTGGACATAGAGTTACAAGATTTCATTTTTTCCTGCTAGCTTTTGGTCTTGCTTTTGTCCCAGTGTTTTCTCTTTCCCTATTTCTTTCTTTAGCAATGGGACTGTTTAACTTTCTTTTGATTTTACAGGGCTCACAGCTAAGAGTTTGCCTTAAGTCTCAGAGGAGGTTTTGGACTTGGGACTTTTCAGCAGTGCTGAAACCAAACCATAAGGACTTTGACAACTCTTAAAGATGGACTAAGCACGTTTTACATAAACCTTCCCTTAATATTTTTGAAATATGTCCCTTAACAATGGGCATCCCAGAGCATTACACAGTGCTAAGGAAACAATGAAACTTGCCTCTTCTACCTTCTGCTCTTGATGCCTGTGAACAAACCAAATTATGAAAAGAATTTTCAAGTGGACACTGTACTAAAAAAGTAAAATTTTCTATTTGGAGCAAAAGATTGCCTTGACCTGTATTCAGCCCTCTCTAAGGACCACCTACCTAATTTTTCCCTTGCATAATTTGTGAGTTTACATCCTTTCTCCCCACTACATTATCTGAATCTAAATAATACAGATTATTAAACAGGTTCATGTATAGTGCTTAGCACAGAGCAGGGATTCAGATATTGATCTACTCATTATTAAATTTTATTTCATGATAACTTCAAAAATAACAGCTCCTGAAGGATCATGAAAAAATGGGAAAGGTAAAAACCAGACATCTGGCTTCATTTGGAAATCCAAGCCGGTAATAAAATTCTGTATAAATTTATTAGCCATGCACCATCTTTTCGGCAAAGAAGAGAGGAATTATCCTTTACTGCGGCATAATATAGGTCTAGAAATATTTAAATTGGATAGTAGGACTAGGAAAAGATATTTTCACTCTTCAGATAGGCAAGGGGTTCTTTCCCCATATTTCAGTATCACACAAATTTGAGACAGTTTGTAAATTTTCTAGTACAGCAAACACGCTCAAAACATTAATGACTGATATTAGTATTAATGTCCTGCCAATGATGATATAGTTCTTTAAAATCCTACTTTTGTTTAACCCTAAACCCTGTATCTTTGTGCCTATGTGAACTTCAAGACCACAGACTATGAATGCCTATTACCCCATGCACATCTCATCATTGAATTGCCTGCTCATTCTACACTTTTAAAAAAAAAGGTCACTTTTTTTTTTTTTTTTTTTGGTTTTTCTCGGGTACCAGGAACCAAACTCAAGACCTTGCGCTTGCCAGGCAGGCGCTTTTGCCGCTGAGCTAAATCCCCAGCCCCAAAGGTCACTTTTTATAAGCTAATTTAAACACCTCTCTTTTGTTTCTAAATTTCAATTTGTTTTAAATATTGCAAGAAAAGTAGCCAAATCTACATCATTAGATACATTCATAATCAAAGCTTTTAAAAAAAGTAGGATATAATTTATGCTAGACTTCTAAACTGGAGTTACCAATAAATCAGAGGAAATTTCCAAAGATAGATGGAACTTTGGATGACAAGGACACCTCTTTAACTAGAGAGGCCATTAAAGAACAGTCTCTAAGCCATTATTTAATCTGACTTCAGAAATCCGAGCAACCAGAACACAGCTTATCACCAACTGCTTTTTAGATACACATTCTCACTCAGATTTAGGGTTATATTTCTTCACGACTATCACCGCATACCCAGTGGCCCTCACAGTCCTGACAGTAGTGTCAGCATGTAGAGTTATGATTTGAAGTATGACCAAAACATATGGTGAATGTTTAAACAAATAATATTATTACAGTAAAAGACACATTATCATTAATCCTCTTCATGTCCAACACGTTCCTTCCTTCTTGCCACTTTGTGAAGCAGTTGGAGAAGTCTCCTTCCATGAATATCTTTACGAAGATGATCAAAAACACAGTGAATACCACTGCCAAGTACTGTCAAATAGAAAGGCCGGCTTCTGAAAGCATTTCATGTGGTCCAACCACCTTAAGTGCTCACTGGATCTGGTACCCTGTGACTTCTGACTGCTCCCCAAAGTTAACATGACATGAAGGGTAGATGTTCTGAATGCCTTGAGGACATTAGGCAGCCATGACAGCAAGTCTCAAGACACCCACACAAAAGGACTTCCTGACTGCTCCAGAAGGGGCAAAAAATAAAGGGCAAGTGAGTTCAAAATCGGAGTATTAGGAGGGGGAACACGGCTTTGTGTCTTTTACTGTAATAACTTTTAAACATTTAAATTAACCATTTTTTTTATCAAACTAGAGCTAACCTAAAGATTACAGGAGCATGAAATAAATATATTTCATTCTTTTCTAGTCAGTAGTGACTTTCAATGATCTCTCCCTTTGCAAACTCCCATAGTAATGGTCCATTTTCTTACATTAACATCAGCCTCCTTATAAAAATGATTCTGTACATATTTTACCTTTTATGATTACAATTTTATTACTGTGTCTTTTAAATTGCTATAGCTAGAATAAAGAAAATTTGACCTTTATTCTCTAGTGTGAGAACTGTCGCTAAATATTTATATTTGCTGGACTCCCTACACCTATCCCACCCAACACCCTCAAAAAAAAAAAAAAAAAAAAAA